TATTTTGAACGACTTCCAGATGGGGCAATGGCTGATACACATGAGTGGTTCTGCTACTACCCGCCTATAGGTTCTGGGAATTAAGGGAGTGAGGCATCAGTCAAAATAGTTTAATGAAGGGATGGAGTGGAAAGTGAGATTCAATATAGAAAGAATTAAATAAATTAGAATTGCTTATGAGCAACAAACGTCTTAAAAATCTCAATAAAAAGGATACCTGAGCTACTTCTTTTTGGACTAGGAATTACAAGAAGTAAAATAAAAAAGATAGATGACTTAAAGAATACTTGAGATGTAGAATTTTTTTCAATATTTTTCAATTCTTATCAATAATGGTATTTTTTTATTACAAGAAGTAAAATAAAAAAGATAGATGACTTAAAGAATACTTGAGATGTAGAATTTTTTCAATATTTTTCAATTCTTATCAATAATGGTATTTTTTTTAATTTCAGAAATTGCACCTACAAATGAAACATTTATAGGTAAAATCATTATATATTTTAAATATGTATTTCTGATTACTTTGTATGGTAATCCTTTCTAGTTTCACATAAATCTATGGCAGTAAAATATGTGCTAGTAAATCTGTGATATAAATTTTTTAAACTAAAATTAAAAGTTACTAGAAAATATGTCAAAATGTCATCTCATTATGTTTCTGTGAATTAAGTTAGGAATATGATTAGAACATACAACAGGTTTTCAATGCTTACTAATTAAATGTTATCATTCAAAGCTTAATATTTTTAGATAATAGTTGAATAAGTGGATGAAATAGAAGTAAATGTGGTCTCTTGTGAAGTAAGTATTTAAAAACCATGATCACACTGGGGGATGATTTGAAAACATGGAAATAAAAAGTTAATTCCCTTTTCTTAATTCATGCTTGCATTAAGCTATAGGGCGTTTCATTTATGCTTATTCAAGAGATTGCTGAGTAAAATGTAGTTTAACTTCAGTTTTGGGACATTTATATTACTGGTGGTGTAAGTATACTTAACAGTTGTAGTAAACTTACATATTTCCACCTTGTGTAATTTAAGGAGGGATTTTATTTTCTGTTCATTGATATTTGGAGGTGGCATCAGTTAAGAGATAGTACAGTAAATCAGAAACCTTAGGTTTTGATGATATATTTAAACTTATGTGACCTGTAAAATGTTATTTAAATTTTACTTATTTTTGGTCACTTACTTAAAGCTAAGTTATCACGTCAGTGTTCTGAACCATATTTCTTGGCTCATAAATAGACCTTAAACAGTTCCTGTGAAATTTTGGTTAAATGGTAATAACAGGAAATAATTAGCTCTTTATGGTGAACATAATATAATTATATAGTGTTATTTGTATTGATTTAAGTAAAAAATTATGTCACTTAACCTCTGCACACAATTTCAGAAATTTTAATTTTAGTTTATGGTAACTGGTTTGTTGAAATAAATTTCTCAACAAAAATTGTTCAAGTAATCTATTTTCAACAATGTTGTCTTCCCTAAACAGTTTCCACTACAACAGCTACCTCCATATTAAGCACCAAAGCAGGTAAATAAGTTTTAAAAAAAGCTTGTTAATTTTTAAGCTTCTAATTAACAGCAAAGTGAATTTGCAATTTAGGCATTTTGGCCGTTTTTTGAAATTTTTCATTCTCCATTTATTTATTTTCTAAATGCCCATGCCACGTAGCAGCATCTACGTTCAATTGTAATATTAGTGAAGAATATCTTCCCTATTCATAGGTTTTCTGTACTAAAAAGGACATTATGCATTCTACTGATTTGGAGAAAGTGGCTATGCCAGAAAATTTTAAGTTAACTTCTTTGAGAATCATTTACACTTTTTCTTTTGCTGACACCAAGAAATTGTAACTTTATTTGGATGGTCTGTAATTAATGCAGAGGCCAGCAGCATACAAAAGTATATTGAAATGTGTGATCATCTAATAAATTAACTTTTACATTTAATCATTTATGTTTACCTATTACATTTAATCATTTATTTGCATTCTGCAGATCTCTAAACATGTCTAAGTAAATTCTTTTTAACCTTGCTTTTTAATACCACGTTAACATACATTTCCAAATATTTGTCTCCTCCTTTGCATAGCAATTACACTGGTTACCAGTAGCTCAAACACAGGTAAGCCATAACCTCCAAACACAACTTAATTAACAGGGGATTTTTAAAAGCACCCAAAACCTCCTTCTGCAGTATTATGCCTTAGCAATGACATATTTTAAAAGAAAGTAGACAGAGGTTTTTTGGTTTTTTTAAAAAATGTTGTAGAGGAAGCTTTTGGGAAAAAAATATGCAAAGTGTTAAGTTTTTTGACCTTTTACTTGTGATCCGTAAATTTTAAAACTTAAAATCCACATTTTGGCATTTATTCACCTATGTGATCAAATTTCTCTGAAATATTAATTTCAAGTTGATTTATTTTATATCTGACCATAGATGTTCTTGAAAGCATAAATTACCCACTACACAAAACTTACTTTTTCCCCATTGTTTTCTCAAATTCAGGAACATCTATTCCAGGGATAACAACATCAAGCAGTGAAACCATAGGTAGGTAAATCAGAAAATCTATAAATGACCACTGAAATTTTTACGTATACAAACATTTTTTTTTCAGATACAAAATTGGAACAACTGACATATTAGAATCAATATCAGTTTGATTATACTTTTGAAATACTAAAGTCCAAATTTTGCCTCTGACCATCCAGTTTTGCTACTGTAGCTTGCTATTCTGTCTTTCTACCTAAACTTTAAAATTCATTGAGTAGGCTTCTGTGTCTTTAATGTAAATGAAAATATGAAAAAAAAAAGAACTTGAAAAAAATGCCTAACCAACAACTTAGCGCTGTGACTTCACATCCTACTTTTGTTTATGATATAGCCACCTTCTTTTATTAAACTAATTAGTTTTATAATAAAAAATGTTACCAATTTTGCTTGATTGAAGACTTACATTCATAATGTATGTCATTTCTTCTTAGAGTTTATATGTTTGAGAAAATAGTTTATATGTTTGATATACTTCATTCTCCCAAATCTCCACTATTTAGAACACACACACTTTCCTATACTTAGGACCTTTTTCTTTTGTTTTCCAACTTAGCACTATTTCTCTTTCTCTTTTATTTATCAATTTCTCTAGTCTTAAATGAATAAGATCTTTGAAGTCACAGATTGTAGTTTACCATCCTTGTATTCCCAATAGCACCTAGTGTCAAGCTCTTTAGTAGTTAGCATTCAAAAAATATTTGTAGAATGAATAGGTGACTTTTTTTCCCTGTTGAAAATTTATAAATCAGGGTTTATATTTTGGCACAGAATTTCTGGTGAAGTTTAGACTACTGGTTAGATATTAATTTTACTGATAAATCCTATAGCTCATATATTTCATTCATTGGAGCTAATCTTCCTTCTGTAGTATACAAATATGGAGTGTAAAACCAAGACTATTTTTGGATTATAATTAATATCATAATATATAGTTATGACTAATTTTAAACATTGCATCATTTTAGTATTATCTAATTTGTTTATTAAGTAATATAATTTTATATTCAAAAGGCATATATATATATATATATATCTTAAAGTATTAGCCATCATAGTGTGCGATATTATTAAAAACATCCAAAACAGTATGTTTACTTTCTATCAAATTTTCTCTTACTTTGGATATCGTTAGCAACATCAAGCACTACTAGCCCTTTAATGTAAGTCTTAGAAAGACTGACACATTTCAGAAATGTTTCTGTCCTTTCTGTAATTGAAATTCAGTTCCCACGGCCAGTAACAATTTCATCCCAATAGTTCTTCTGAATTTGTCTTATACACTGCAGAACAATTTTCCAGCTACATATTACCTAAGCCACAAGCAATGATCTGAATTCCTAATTCTCAGCCTGGTTCTGTTTCTAAGATGATTAATTTAATTCAGTTATATAGTTCTCCTTTAGTTAAAATTATTCATTGAGCTATTAAAACTTTTGAATCTTGTGACCATTTAAAGAAATACAATTTTCCTTGACTGTTGATTTGATGAACTCCATAGATACACATGAGTCATAAGCAACTGGATAAATATTTTATGTATTTTTTCAATAAGATGATGGTATCTGCATCCTATATCACAATAGGCACCCAGAACTAAGAAAACTGGTTTAATTTTTCCAGTTTATACATATATTGCCTTTTATTGACTTTTTTCTAGCATTCAGTTTTGAACATAACATTCAATTTTATTTTGTCAATACTTTGTATTGTAGCAAGCAAACTTCTCATATAAAACAGAAGGTCATGTGTAGATGACCTAACAGGGTTTTTGTGAGCTTTTGTAAAATTTTAGATGTAAAGTGTTTCATTAACTATAAAATACTACAACAATCTTATCAATCATTTCCATGATAGCATTTTAAAAATTATAAATCTAATATAGAGTTGAATTATAAGAAAGCTTACCTAGGTGATTTTTCCCTTAAATTTATTAGGTATTATTTATAACTTTTTAATGCTTTGTTTTACTGAATCCTAATGGTTTATTTAATTTCACTGAAATGCCAGTAGATACTTTATGCTCTATAAGTATAATATTAATAATTTACTAAATGCCATGTTGGGACTATACTGAAATATATAGTTAATAATAACTTTTACTGAAGATTTAATACATTGTAGCCATTATATTAATTATTTTTTACAATATCTCATTAAAACTCAATAATCCTCTGATTAAGTACTATTATTCTCCACAACTCCTCTCCCCTCATCATCTTATATATGGGGACATTCAAAGAGCTTACATAGTTTTTTCAGGGTTATAAGGATTGGAAAGAAAAGTTTTTTGGCATGATAAATACAGAAATTAGGGTTGTTTTTCTTTACTTTGTTATTTATGAATGCCAGAAAATATAGTCAACATTATTCTAAAATCAGTAGAAAAAAGTAAAATAAAAACATTTATTTTATGTTAAAATTGTTTAATTGTGTCACAAATTGTGTGTTTTAAATAAATTCAGTTAAATAATTTCAATGTACAGAAGACACTGATAACCAAATGATCAAATAAATAATACCTTTCAGGATTTATTAACAATGTAGATGTTGCTTATCTTGTTCCTGGAATAAATTCGTAAGAACCTATTTCCCAGATAAAACCGAGGCATACATAATTTTGGTTATTTATTTAATTTCAATTTTAAAATAATTATTAGTAGTAAGGCTTGGTTTAATTCTTAGTTTCTCATTCACTAGCCAACATCTTCTTTTCTAAATCTGTGCCCATATTATACTCAATAAGTGAGAATTTAGAAATTATTCAAATAATAACTAACTTAGTCCCCCCTGAAATTTGTGTCTTGAGGTCTGGATCAAACCAGTTGGTCATCTTTCTTGATTCAATTAACTGGATAATCATAAATTGTCTACTTCAGCTTGTGCTCTTGGGATGAGTACAAAATACTCAGAATAAAATGTGACATTTCTGAGTTTCAACAACCATAAAAGACAATATGTCAATTTACTTCTGACTGATGAATCATAATAATCCATATAAGATGGGGATGGTAGAATCTCAGAAGGTGCTAAATGTGTGTTTACTGATAGTTTTATTTTGAAGCTCTAAAAGAAAAACAAACAAAATAGCCAAGTCTACTGTTCTATTATTTTTCATTTTCCATGTAAGAATAAAACATTTCTTTTTAAGGCACACCAACGTACTTTTTAACTTTTTTTCCCTTCAATTCACTCAATAAGCATTATGTCAAAATGGAAATAAAACAATTTAAACTGTTTGCTTTTAGAATACTTTTAAAATAAATAAAGATCTTTTGTGCAGAGATTGCCTTGAACAGACTGTAGGCTTGAAAATCACATCATGTTTCCTTTACTGACATCAATGGTTTAAAAGTTGAACAGCATTTGACAAACTGGGATAAATCCATAACTATATAATGATTTCTGATTTTAAGTGGTAAGCCTTACTTGATCAGTGATAAGAAAAATGGATTCCATTTTTTAAATTTTAAAATAAGAGTTTAGTCATCTCTAGCACTGTTTTTTGGTTTTTTCTAAATAAACTATGCACCACCTAAAATATTTATATAGAGATTGAAAAGTGAAAGATTCATATTTTCATACATAATATAGCTAAGAAGAGACCTCATTTTGAATATGTATTGCCTCTCCATAAACTGTCTATAATAGATGGAAGGATTTGTTTCTTAAACATAAGAACCGGTTTCACCAAGAAATTTTGGTTAACAGCGCCAATGTTCTAAATGTAATTTCACCAATATGATTAGTGGGGTAAATCAATTTAGTCAAATCTTTTTCACTTCTATTTTATGCTTTGTGGATGGAAGGATTTGTTTCTTAAACATAAGAACCGGTTTCACCAAGAAATTTTGGTTAACAGCCCCAATGTTCTAAATGTAATTTCACCAATATGATTAGTGGGGTAAATCAATTTAGTCAAATCTTTTTCACTTCTATTTTATGCTTTGTCTGAAAATAAATCAATGTATTATGGAAATCTGTGACTCTTGAACACAAAGGTAAGATTTATTTTCAAAAGAATCTGGGCAGGGAACCAATTTTTTTTTGCCACTAACTTGTTCCTTAAATGAAGTATTTTTTATTAAATACTGGATGAAACAGTAACCTTGTATATAAGTTGTATGATTTCATTGTTGCACATGTTAAACTTTTTGTGGAGATAAAGAGCGTAGAAGTAAAATGTACTTTTGATGAATTTAGAAAAACATTACAGAAAACTTTAAAGTATGAAGGAAGCAATCTGCGAAGCTTATTTTTTCCATGCTTTATATATCTATTTTCTTTTCTCTACAATAAATGCTTTCAAAGAACTAAAATACCCTGAGAGATGACTAACCAACCATTCTAATAAGTGTGTTATTTTTAGAAGAAAAATTATACTGTTACGGACATTTTCCTTTATAGATTGATTGATCTTGACACAGAGCTAATATTTACTGAACACTGTTCTCAGTATTTGACACATATTATCTTATTTGATACAGAAAACCCTATGAATATGGTGCCGTATTTCCCCCTATTTACAAAGTAAATGAAAGCACAAAGAGGTTAAGTTATGTGTCCAAAGTTACTTGCTAATTAGTAGCAGAGAGAATTAAAATCCAGGACATGTTTTTCTAGATTTCAGTTCTAATGCCTCTGTGTTTTGATGCTTAAAAAAGAGAATAAGGTTTAATTTAATTTAAATTAGTTATTGAAGTAGCAACATATAATTGCAAATTTCTATTTCGATTGGGACTTCCATTAAAATTTTTGATTTGTTTGGTAAATTTCTATTAAAACTAAAAAAATTAAAAAACCTCTTTGAATACATGGGATACTGATTCATATAATTAAAAAGTGGGTTTCTGTTAGATAATAATATGTTAAATGCGTTTTTTGTTTTCTCAGAAAATTTTAAATCTCATAATGTTATGACAATACGTTATATATGTGTTGTTTGTATAATGTGTTTATCCTCAAGTAGCATCAATCATAGAAAGAACATAATTGCATCAAGCAACTGAGTGTAGTGGGATATAGAATCAGAAAAATAATTTGCAGCCAGTCACCAAGAGAAAAAAGAAAAAGAAAAAGAATAATTTGAATTCCTTTTTCTCTACTTACTAAATGTACGACACTAATTTAATCCCCTCATACATACCGAGCATAAGTTTGCTCATCCGCTAAGTGGGAAAAATAATATCTACGTTACAGAATTTGAAAAAGGAGTAAATGTGACAGTGTAGCCCAGTATAATACACAGTAAGTACTCACTAAAGTCAACTTTATTATTAGTGACAGTTTTATAAAGAATAATTCATCATTCCCCATACCAGCCAGCCACCAAAAAATAAATAAATAAGAATAATTCATTAGACAAATGAATTTAGATTCCAGTAGAGAAGTTTAGTATTTTTTCATTGATTAATCAGAAACATGCTGCTTCCTGAGTTAAAGTCAATTTTATATATTTTTGGATTGTTTTCAGAAATACAATGTCTTGCAAAAGCTATTAGTTTTGCAGTAATGAGTTTGTTGTTTGCAAGGGGGAGTGTTATAGATACTTCTTAAACTTACCTTCCAGACATTTATTTTAAGTAAAATGGACTCCATTGAAGAAAATGGCGAAATAATTTGTTCCTTATAAACACTAAAATGATTCTTAGAAGTAGTCAAAAAACTTAGTGATAGCTAGAAAGTTAATTGCAAGATTTTATTTTATTTTATTTATTAAGTTTATAATGAGATAAAAATAAATGGACAGAGTCACTTTGGAAAACTTTCAGGGTCGAGCATCCTATTACCTTAGAGTGTGCAGAGCTATCAGCAGTTTGGTAAAGGCAGCTCTTTTTATTACCATTTGCATCTTGGCGACAAAGATGATACACAAAAATTGGCAATATCAAGTGCATGTATGTTCATTTGCAAGTAGTAGAAAAAACAGTTGAATTTGTAGTGGTTATGGATGTCAAAAGTAATGAAAACGGTAATGCTTTATCTATCAATTTTGGTAACTAAACCATGAAGAAAAGTGGGTTCTCTTATATTCCTGTTAGTAGAGGCTTATTCCTACTTTTATTGCTGTATCAACAATTTAAGACTTACATCTTCTGAAGTTCATTCATGGGAAAAGGGAGCTATATCATAGTAGCCTAACAGGTATGCACTCCAATCTGTGACTAGTTTAGATAATTCTTACGACCCCGATCAAAGATGTGTCTTTGAGATCCACTTTGAAGCACGTTGTCATTGTAGCCACATCCATTACAAGGAAAGAGAACATAAGAATGTTCTCTAATGCATATGATAAAAAATATTTGCAAACACAAATTAAGGAAACAACTGTTAAATGACAGCTATGGCAAAATGTGACAGCAATGTACTACACAAAACCTATGGTCTTTTATTGTGAGGACAAAATGAAAGCTAACTGTTGGGGAAAAAAAGAAAAAAAATCTGTGATCAGTGCACTACCTACCGCCTATGGTGAACCACTGTGTTCTCCTTAAATCCATATTGATGAGAGCATATTCAAATGTGGAAATTTTGGATATTTCATTTTACTCCATGTGAAAATGCTGCTTTTAATTAAATGTAATTGTGGTCATTTTGAAAGTGCTCAAATTGGGATCATTGGACTCTCTTAAAGGTTAAATCAATACTGGAAATAGAATCTGCACCAAAATCTTTTGAATATCAGGATCCATCCTGCTATATCATTATAATATTAATAGTCTCTATGGTACCCAGCACAATAGTCTTTCTATGCTACTTTGCATCCAGATCAGCAAGATTTTCTCATTCAAATATTCAATTATTGTCTTCATTAGTGAGAAGAGATATCAAGATCTGAATTGGTCTGTTGATGGAGTCTGCTTGATATGGATTCTGAGAATTCTTCTCAACTAAACCTTGACAATGATTTTGAGAGCTCTCACATAAAATTTCTCTCAAACTTCTTAACATATTTATAAATCAAATTTTTAAAGTAATCAGGGGAGACAGGATATTTTATTATTTATATGACACTATAGTCTACAATTTCTAGTCAAATTTCTGATATTTCCATTAATATAGTAAATAGGTAATCAAAAAAACTTAAAAACTACAGGAGATGATATATTATACATAAGGCAGAATGACATAAAAAGCAGATGGGTCACAGCCCTAGGTACTGGGTGACTTAGATTTTAGTCCCTCCTTTGTCACTGACCACCAGTGATCTTGAGCATATCACTTATCTTTTCTGGGTCCAATTATTTATATGCAAAATGGATGTAATATTTTGACCCTACTCATTCATCTCTTCATTAATTCATTCAGTGGACAAATATTTATCAAGCCCCTATTATGTGCTAGGCACTGGAGGTATTTTATGAGTTAAGATAGACATGGTGTCTGCCTTCATGGAGCCTACAGTCTAGTCAAGAAGATGAATATCAATCAAGTAATTACAAAAACAAATGGAATTTGCATCAATGACAAGAATGAGGAAGTGCTTAAAATGGGGCAAGAGATAAGGGAGAGGGGATTTGATCAAGTCAGGGAGATCAGGAAAAACTGAAGAAAAGATGATCAGTTGAAAACTGACCAATGGAAATTTGACTAGGACAAGAGGGAAAGGATCCGTGTTCCAGGTACAGGGAACTGCAAACAGCAGGAATGAAAGATTGAAGGAAGGCCAGTGTGACTGGAAGAGGAGTGAGGATCAAATAGAGAGATCGTGTGAGAAGTTTCTTTTTCTAAAGTACAAAACACCATAAAATTGTGAAGTGACATTATTACATAAAGTGAGCAGTAGATTTCCAGGGATTTTCAATGGACATTAATACTGAAGTAGAGAAAACACCTGACTCTTCATTTATTATGAAAACAAGAAATTAATAAAGACTTATTTTTTTTTTTTAAAAGATGACCGGTAAGGGGATCTTAACCCTTGACTTGGTGTTGTCAGCACCATGCCCAGCCAGTGAGCGAACCGGCCATCCCTATGTGGGATCCGAACCCGGGGCCTTGGTGTTATTAGCACCGCACTCTACCGAGTGAGCCACGGGCCGGCCTAATAAAGACTTATTTTTAAGTGCACAGACCCCTCAACAAATATTTCACGAACCCCTGCACATTCCCGACAATGGGCAGGCATTGGGAGTACAAAGATAAAACATAGCCTCTTCCTTGAGGAGTTTCCTCGTAATCCAAAGTTGTTTACTGGTAACTGCAAATGTATTTCCACAAACCTGCTATGTCAAATCATAAAAACAAATCTTAAAAAATTCCTCCTTTCCCACCCAAATCCTTATAGACTAAATTCTTCTTAGAAAAATATTCAAGCTTCAGTGGTAGTGGAAGTCGAAGTAAACATAAACTGTAAAATTAACCTCTGCTTGCTGAGTAGAGAATGGGTTTTATCATTGCTGATATCCATTTATTCCACTTACTCTGTATTTAGAATTCAGCATATGTGCATGTGTGTGTTTGTGTGTACATACTACACCATCTTACATAACAGACTCAAACATCGGTGAATTTTGGTATGGGGAGAAGTCCTGCAAGCAACCCTCCATGAATTCTGAGAGATGACTGTATACACACATGTACACACAAACACATTGGGAAGTATATCATAATGTCACTATTTTAAAAATGAAATAAAATTTTATTATTAATTTTAAACACTAGTATATTACAAATTACTATATTGAAAACTTTTCAACAGGTGAACAATCTTTCTAGTACTTTTCCCTCGAGGCCAGGAAAATTCACATATTTCTGTTTTTCTTATTAGGAACAACTCTAAGTCCTCTCACTGAATCTTTTGCTACAGGTCGGTATTTTAATTCCTGGTTTCAAATGTGAAATGAAAATATTTAACATGATAAATTATTAGTAACTCTGTTTTTAAGGAAGAATTTACATGAATCTGGTTTTTGAAAAAAAATTTCAAATAAATAGTTTACTAGGCTTGCACTGCTGGTTTTTAAAGTTTTTTAAAAATTGAATTTAATTTGTTTTTATCAGTTTGTATTGACTGGCTATAATATGGTTTCCAGTTTTATTTTCTTCTTTATCATTGACTATTAGCGTAGTGTTTACAACAGTACTAAATAGCTCAAAAAATTTTTAAAAAATAGGTTAAGAGAAAACGTGTATATCTAATGAAATATTTTAGTCTTTTAGGTGTTTTAAGTGTAAAAGTAGGAATTAGCTATTTCACAATAGCGTTTCATTATTTATCATCAGCCCTAAGCAACAGTGATTAGGGCATAAGGTTCTGCGTATTCTAAAGCAAAGTTATTGCAACAAATGTATCAAGACCTAGTCAGACCCAATTCAAGACACAGAAAAATGTCTTTGTAAAACAACTCACCCCCCCCTAAAAAAAAAACTTAACCAAAACCTTCAAGAAAATATTAGATCAAAATTTTAGCTAATTTTTGGCAGAAGTCAATGGATTCGTTTACACTATTATCTTTAGGAGGAATCAATCAGGCAGTTAAATCATCCATTGATAATAAACATCAATTAAACTTTAGATAAAGAGTTCATTTTTTGTTTTTCTCAGGCATTACCAGAAGTGTAGTTTCCATCACCTCCACAGCTGGAAGTGCAAGCACTGCTGGAGTGGTGAACCCCACCTTCACCAGTCCCGGGGACATATCAGGTAAATTAATTTGAGAGCAAAGTAAAACAGCATCAGCTAAGCAGCTGGTTTTGGGCAATGCTACTCAGGACAATATTTTTAATATAAAAAATCAGACTTAGGTTATACTCCTAATATGTAATTGAAATGTAATATCTTCAGTCTTTTCAAAAGTTGCTTTCTTATAGTCTGTCATGTTACAAGTGCCCATTACCTTGGTAGTTGGTAGTGCCCAACCACTTTTATTAGCCAGATGTTTGTTTCTTCTTTACCTTCATTAGGGACAACTGGAGTCTCACCAAGTGGAACCACAGGAGCTGACAATGTAACTTCAAATGACGCAGGCTACACAGTGGGTAAGACAAAGAAATGAGTAATCTGCTCTCTCTACAGTAGCTAGTTTCCACAGGTAGTCCTCTGATTCAGCTCAGCAACAGCCCTGCCCTGAATACATCCTTAGGTAACAGGGGCCAAGTATTAGAGCAATCTAAGTCACCTGGGTGACTTTGGGAAAAGTTGACTAATGACTAATATTTATGAGGGGTCCTCAAGCAGTTTATGGAAATGGTTTTATCTTTTAATTTTATTTTTCCATGGTAGTTACCTGTCATTATTCCCATGAGGTGAGAAAATAATGGGAAGTCTCTTAGCTGGCAAAGGCAGGATTAGAAAACACAGTCCCAAGCCTCATGGGCAGCAGCTCTATAGGTCTGTGATCTGTGTAGAAGAGCATCCATCTTATCCTCGTGCATCACCAACTAAATTTCAACTATGGTTGGTTCATGATAAAATATGGCTGACATTCTTTAAGCATAAATAACAAGCCTGAGTTCACCCCGCTAGAAGAGCATCCATCTTATCCTCGTGCATCACCAACTAAATTTCAACTATGGTTGGTTCATGTAAAATATGGCTGACATTCTTTAAGCATAAATAACAAGCCTGAGTTCACCCCGCTCCTCATGCAATTGGTTAATTTTAAGAACCTGTTCAGTTTCTTCTCGTCTGCATCACATTTGCTTCTGCTTTTGTTCAGGTGTAAACGTTTTCTTGTCTACCTAGCTCATCTTCCTCTAACACAGTTCTGCTCAGTGTGTTGTTCCTGTTTCAGCAGCATTAGTATCTCCTTGGAATGTCTTAGTAAACCATGTAAATTTCTGGGTCCACCTGCCTAGAATCAGGAGCTGTTGGAGTGGAGCCAGTGAGCAGTGTATTAACAAGCCTTTACGCCAGTGATGCTCATCAAAGTTGACAACCACTGCTCTGACAGTTACAATTTTTCCCTCTTTCCTCCCAATTTGCATCCTACCCAATATGGTGCCAGAATGTACTTCTAAAACCTCAGCTATCATCACGTCACTTTGCTACTTAAAATTCTTCAGTTGTTCTGATGGTTAAGACAAACCAGCACTCCTATATATTAAAAGCCACTTCTTTCGGGCATGCATGGGACTTCTCTGTATCCATTTATTAACTAATCCACGGCCTTATTTAATATTTCCTTTATAAATTTTCCCTTAGCAATT